TAGTCAATCTGGAAAAAAATATTGTCACATGCTACAACATGGACAAAATTTGAGGACATTATGTTAAGTAAATAAGCCAGTCAGAAAAAGACAAATATATGATTTCATTTATATGAGAAATCTAAAGTAGTCAAATTCATAGAAACAGAAAACAGAATGGTGGGACAGGGGCAGAGGGGAGAGAGGGTTGGAAGAGGAGGAGAATGAGCAGCTGTTTAATAGGTATGGAGTTTTGATTTTGCAAAATGAAACAGTTCTGGAAATCTGTTGTACAACAGTGAACATACACAACACTACAGAAATTTATACTAAAAAATGGTTAACAGAAAAAAAAACAATAAAAAAGAAAAATGGTTAACATGATAAATTTAATGTGTTTTTTAAAACAATTAACAATTTTCAAAAAAAAAGCCTATATAGAGGAAACAAGACAAAAATCAATTAGAGGGTGGAAAAAACAGGAGTTTAGAAAATAACATCCAAGCTAAGATGGTTGTAGTCAGAGCTGAAGATTATATTTCTAATGTTTCCTGGAACATTTCTAAGAAGAAAATTTGTGAAGTTTTCAAAAAAAGGTGGCCAACAACATATTCTGTGTTATGTTGGAACTTAAACTTCTGGACTGCAAAGGGGATTCTGACCCTCACCAAACCAAAATAGCACTTAGCACAGAGAAGGCTCAAACAATATCTACTTGATTAAACTGGCCTCCACTTCTTCCTAAGTTCATGTATTTTATTCTAAAAATTAGAGCAGAGTGAAAACTATTCATCAAACTAATTTATATCTTCAAAGCAAATATACACAGACAATGTAAGAGTGAACCTGAAAGTATAAACTACTAAAACCTGTAAGAAAATTAAATTCCCTTAGGAGTAAAACAAACTCAATTACTCATTTCATTCATCTCTATGGCCGATGGGCTTAAAAATGACATGAATGCAGACCAGAATGTGCTCTGTGGTATTACATTAGAATTAGAGGTACCAGTAGGAGTAGGTAGGTAGGTAGATGAATAACAGGTAAAGAGATACAGGAGTGAGTGAGTGTGAGAGTGTGAGTGTGTGTGTGTGTGTGGGTGTGGGTGTGGGTGTGTGTGGGTGTGTGGAGAGGGAGAGAGAGGGGGGGAGAGAGAGAGAGAGAGAGAGAGAGAGAG